GGTAAAACTTTGTTAACACAAAATCAAAAACATACACAAGTTGAATTAGTTCAAAAGGTGCGGTAGGTAAAAAAAAAACGAGATCGTCTACAAAGAGTTACTAGTTTATATCCAAGAATCTCAAATTGTAATATTCGCTAAAAATTTTTTATGATCTATACATAGGCTGGTGTAATAGAAATATCGATATCTTTACCAGTTGTTATGTCATAAACATATATATTGATAGTAATAAGGCTGTGACTCTTATGGTAAGGTGGGTACCAAAATGTATCGTTAATATGAAAAAATATATAACGTACTTGCGCATTATTTTGAATTTCTACTAATCGTTATATATTTATTAAAGAATATAGGCGGTCCAAACGAGTGATATCCCGCAATGCCTGCGTGAGTAATGTTTTGTATAAGGTATGACACCTACGGTACGGATTTGTGGGCTTTGTAGATATCTTATATAAGGCTGCGACACCCGTAATAAGGCTTCGTGAGTGATGTCTTGTATAGGCTGTGACATGTAGGAATGAATCCGGCCACATGTACCGGAGTTGAATTTATTTAAAGCATGCATATTCAATAACTTCATGTCTTAAATTCATGTTTTAAAAGAGCATACATCAGTTGCTATTTGATGTACAGTACAGTATAATTGAAACGGGATATGTACCCGGAAATAACAATCGAGATTGCGCTGGATATCCCATAGGCAGCAGAAGCAGTGTGGCGTAGCATTGGCCGGTGGTTTCCCGCCTGAGTAAAGCAAACAGACCGATAAAAGAACGTAAGCAGTTTCTACGAAAATGGCAGGATTCGAGCTCTTCCTCTTAAATATGTTTGTTTTTGTTTCTTTTTTGCTGTGGGAGGGTGGGACAGGGTCGCAAATAGAATATTAGCAATGCGGTTAGATGCTGGTTGTGCAAGCATGTTTGCATTGTCATATATATGCTGAATCTTGCTTGGGTTCAACGTTTATCTCATGGTTACTGGAATCGGAAGCTGATATAAAGTCATACCTAAACCTTGGCTGTGATGCTGATCTCCTTATTTGGCATTCACATTGGTTGCTCGTATCCGGCCTTTACTGTGTTTGGCGGTGCTCATAGCATTGTTTAGCTGTCTTTTCGATCCGTTGACCGAACGTCAACTTGAAATATCAGGGTATTATGCATGCTTTTGAAACAGGTATTTGAATAAGAATTGCTGGGGTTTAAATTCTATTTTGAAAATTTAATGTTAAAAATGATAACAATAACCCCAACGCTTATGTACATACGTGCGTACGTACTCATTTTGTCGCATTGCATAAAAGTTGAGATTTAAGTATTAATTTTTTGAGACACCTTAATTACCTTACTTTCAATTCCAATAAAATGGTTCAAATATCCGAAACCAATTCTTTAGAAAAAACTGTGAATTATAAAAGTTCAAAAATTCAACTTATGAAAGATGGACTGATTTTCACCTTTGAAAATTTTTGGCAATGTGTAAATGTTAAGACTGATGACTATGTACTCAAAGATGTAGCTAATAAAATCAACGTTCAACGTAAGAAATTTTTCAATTTCGTGGAAGATTCTATTCAACAAAGCTACAAAATACGCAGATATTTGTCGAATTTTCAATTAGTTATTGAATGCAGTGCCGATGATTCTTTATCCAAGGATGAATATGTTAAGGAATTAGAGTCATTATTAGATGAAAGTAAGCGGAATCTGAAATCTGCTGAAATGTTGAATAAACAAGCTGAAGAAATTATAGATGAATTAATAAACATCAACAGTGAACTTTATAAATATAAAGAAGATATTCAAAGTAATACAGAGAACATCAAATCAGAAAATGGGGATAAATTTAATAAAACCAAATCTAATATGAAATTTTCAACTTTTTTACGTAATTGTGGTGTTGCCGTTTTTATTGGTGCGGGAGCTTTGGCTCTTGCTCCATATACTGGTGGTGCTAGTGTTGTAATAGGATCAGAGCTTGCGGAAGGTTTGTTTGTAGGTTCCACTATCCTTGGAACAGGTGAGCAATAATAACGATCACTAATATAAACTTATATATTAAAAGTCGATTCTAAAAAGCTTCTTTTCTTTTTTTGAATAGAAGCAGCCATATTTGCCGTAGCAGGTGAAGTATCCCGACAAGAATGTTCATCAAAAATCGATAAATTAAGAGAACAGTTAGAAAAAGAGAAAGTTGAATTATCCACCAATATCGATAAATTGATAGAAGGTCTCAAATTAATAGTCGACACGGCTGCAATGCTCATGGTGTATTGGAAGACTCAATCAGATGATTATCTTGTCTATCTTTTAAATAAAGCGAATGAGGCAAAAGAGCAACAAACTATCGAGAGCAATGGGAATATTGATGGCAATGGCCAGGTCGGCGATTCAAGTTCTACTGGGAGCAATGTAAAAACTCCTGAAAATAAGCCATTATTTAGAAATAAACCTGTTGTCAGAGGAATTAACAAATGTTTAAAAGAAATGGAGGTAGATGAACTCTATACCAAAGAATTCTCTATGGAAATCGGAGTTCAAATGGTGAAATATGAGATGATGTTCAACCGTATTGGTATGTAAATTCTTTTCGTTATAAATTTACTAGTAAAATAATTTATACTAATAAATATTATATTTATATCATTATATAATTTTAGAAGCCTAATAATTGAAAATATACATATTGTGATTTTCTTTGCAATTTTAAATTCCGATGAATTCAAATCGTCGAGTTTTAATTTTTATCCTATCATATCGTTGATAATTAGGGATCTTTCGATTAAATAAAGCCTGTAATCTCTGTAAACTTTACGGACTCTTTACATCCTTGAAAATCTATATACTGTTTCCTTAGGTTATTATTTAATTCTTCATATCGATGTATATATATTGTGGCAAAATGATAGTTACGTTGCATTGGGGTGGATGCCTAGATTAACGATGTTGTAAAATGAATAAAATTGCCGTAAATGACTTTTTAAATGAATTAATGTTTTTCTTTTTGCGATCCTTCTCTCACGAGTATATTAGACTTCGGGTGGTATTAAAGGCTTAGCTGGCTTAGGGTTATAGTAATTATTAAGGGAACCATGGTATTATGGCGCACTCAACGATTTCTAATAGTAAAAATTTTTGAAAAAAGCTTATTTTATTCTCAATTTATTAAAATTAAATACATTCGATTTACTAACTAATAATAAAAAAAAAAGCTTGCACTTTTTAAAAAAAAATTTAGTATACTGAACGTTCAAAAATCGTCAAAAAATTGTTATGTTTTTTTCGGGTTGAGGGTATTGTCACATTCGGAATACGGCGAGTCAGTCGCTCGAATTGTGTGATCTTCGTGTCACGTAACTCAACAACCTATCGAAAGGGGCGGTTAGATTTGTCGAACGGAGGTATAAGACTTTGGTTATTGTTCCGGACTCAAGTCACGTGGCAAGCCTGCTTTGCGTTATTGAATCTTTCAACTTCCCTTAATCAACTTACTGACCTTATCCTTTACTTTTAGGATAATCAGACACAAGATTAAACGGCAAGTTCTACCTTACTCAATGAACAATTCGACAATTACTCTATTACAAAGAGTAAATTGAACAGCGTAACGTTATCACGGGAACAAGTTTATAAATTAGCGAAAGTCTTTACAAATTAAAAGACCAGGTGAGTGATTTAGCGAAATATATTTGGGAATTTATGTGTTTAGGGACAGAACACTTGATATTTCATAACAAGAACTTATATTGTGTTAATAGTTCGATATTGAGCAGAGGTGGTGAAATGCCTTTTTATTTATATAAAATGAAACATAGTACAGATTTGAATAATTTAAATAGTTTAAATAATTATAATTATAATTATTTTTTTTGGTGATCCTGTTTATTATTTTATTTAGGAAAAACTTACATGAGCTACAAAGTAAATTACTATCTAAAACATAAGAAAGTACTCTCTTTCAACTATTTTAAACTCATTCAGCTACCTTTAGGTGTCTAAGTGTGATCTGCTGTAGCAACAATTTCTCTTACAGAGACTTTAGTTTACAGGTACAGACTCTAGGTTTCTGGTCTATAAGAGGCTACTACTAGCATATTAAACAATTATAATTATTATAATTATTATATTAATTATAACAATTATAATCACTATACATATTATAATTATTTTAATAATTATAATAATTGTAATTATTATAATCAGTATAACAATTATAAGTATTTTAATAATTATAATAATTATAATATGATATAGTAAAACCTGAATCTGAGTTAAGATTTTATTGATACAGATCATACCTAATATAGTACTTTTCTAATCTTAACTCTAATAAAAGTAAAGATCTATATCAAATGTATTATAAAAGTAATCTAAACAACTCAGATTTCACCCTGTTATATTATAATTATTATAATCATTATAATTATTATAATACTGGATCTTTATAAAAGTCAAGAATTACATAACTAAAAAATATACTATGAATTGTTCAAATAATTTCAGGCAGTATCTAGTCTAATTATAATTTCTAGTTTACAGTATTATAGCATACTATTGTAAATAGCAAATCTGCTTTCAGAGCTACTATAGTCAAATATAGTACTACTTTTGATTTTTCTGATTTTTTTGTTTTTTTTTAATTATTACTATTTTTTTTATTTAGGCTATCATACTGATTTTAGAAATAATATTGATTTATGAAATAAACCAAATCAGTATTATTAGCATCATTAACAAAATAATATCAAAAGAACAATTAGTATTTTGTTAATAGAAATAATATAGTAATTTTATTTTATTTTCTTCTTTTTTAATCTATTTTTTTTTATATATAAATTTATCTATAAAAGTAATACAAGTTGTCTTTCAATAAAAATAACTTTAGCAGAGTTCAATTAGACTTTAATAAGTTTAACATTTAGGAAAACTAATACTTCAAAATTCAAGTAGAATTTTAGTAGTATAAGTTTACTATTGTTAAAATATTGTTATTATTAAAATCTTGTTTTGTGATAATTAGAATTAATTAATTTAAGAAAAAAATAATCAATTACTCTTAAATAGTTTTATTAACAAACTATCTAATTAAAAATCATTATATATTAGAATTATTAATATAAAAAAAGTATGTCTAATCAAAAATTAGAAACTAAAAACAACTAGAACTAATAGTCAAGAAATCTAAAAAATACTTATTTCTAGAAACAAAGATAATTTACAAAATTTCTAAAACTTAGATCAAATTTTCTATTTTTTCTTTTACTTTCTAACTTAGAGTTAATTGTTAAATTGTTAGTATTATTGAGTTATAGTTATCAGATTTGAATACTAGTATAACTTAATCTCTAGTTGAGCTCTAATTAAAACTAGTTTATATTTTTTAATTAGTAATAACTATAAGATATATAATGCTAATTAATAAAATAATAATATTCTTATCTTCTAATTAAATAACTAATCTAGAAATATAGAAAATAAATCTAGAAAGATTATAAAATAAATATACTATATTATTTACAATATTTACAAAAAAATAAGTTCTAAAAGTTTAAGGTATAATTAATATAGCTTTTGAAAAAAATAATTTTGATAATATACAAGTTTTTTTAGCTTTAAAGTTTTTGTTAAATGTAATAAAGAATATTAGTAATAATAAAAAGAATAAAAAAAAAATCAAATACTTACTTTTTTATACTGGTATTAGAATTTATTTAACTAAATATTTAGATATCTGAATATTTAATTTAATTTATAGATACTAAATTTAGATATTCAAATAACTATTTAAATAATATCTAAATAGTTATATAATATTATGATTACTAAAAAATTAATTAATTTTTTTTATATAATAATAATATTAATATTATCAATTAAAAATTATTATAAAATTATTTATTACAGTTTTTATTCTAATTGAAATAGCTAATTAAAAAATTAATTAATAATTATATACTAGCTTATTAAAATTTTGATTTAGTATAATTTTAAATATAATCTAACTATCTATATTCAAAATTTATACTAAATTAAAAACTTAACAAGCTAATATATAATTATTTAATTAATTTTTATTAGCTATTCTTATTCAAATAAAAACTACTTTAAAGATAAAATAATTATAATTATTTACTTTTTGTGTTTTATAAAATATATAATTTTTGCTATTATATAAAAAGCAAAAATTTAGTATATAAAGTTACTAACTAATTTGTAAATTATAACTATTATTATAAGTAAAATAACTTTAATTAGAAATAATTTTTTATTTACTAGTTTAATTTTGATAAATATATATTATTAGAATTCTTTTACTAAGACGAATCTAGCAAGATAAAAATTATCAAAATTTGATTACTAGATACTAAGATACAAAAGTTCTGAATTATATAACCTATAGAAAGTATATATTTGTATAATGATCTACTTCATTTTTGCATCTAAGATATTATAGATTTAAAAGATCTTAAATTTTTAAACAAGCTATTAAATTTTTAGAATTTACAATAAAGTTTAATGATCTTAGTATAGTAGTTTAGTTGTCAGACTACTATATAAAAGATTTAGAATTCAAATCTCATTATTAACAAATTTGAATAATTACTCAGACCTTTGTATCTAACTTACAGTAAACCCTGTTTGTTTCTAAAGTTGTGGCTCTGAAATCATATTGCATTAATATCAATCAGATATTAGAAGTATAACAAAAAAGTTAATTATAATATAATGTTATATGAATAAATCTTAATAGGATCTACAAGCAGAGAATCTGTATAGTAGAAATCTTGAATTAGTTGATATAGCAAATTTTAACAGTCATATTAGTTTGATGCTTGATTTAGAAAAAAAGTTTAGGTATGAAGAATGCAGATTGAGTAGATATGAGTAAGTCTATTATATAAAGTCATATAGTAATACTAATTTGGTTTAGTAGCTAACTAAATTTAGAAGAATCTATCTTGTAAAATATCTAGAAAAACTTAGAGAACTAATCTGATGAAAAGCTACAGCTAGAACTAAGTTTATATAAATATTAATAATAATATATACTAGCTTAATTAGGATATATCACAGTATAGTTAAGGTCATCTACAAGTCTTCACAGGAATAGGACTATTAGAGTATCTTATAATAAGATTTAGTCTTATGAAGACAATTTGAAATACAAGTTGGTTTGAGTAGTCTTCAAATGGGAAAGCATAAAATTAGCATAGATTATAAACATTAAGTTAAATATAGAGTTTCATAGTAATGCTAGAGAGTTTAAATAGAGTATTTACAGGCAGATACTAGATATAGCAATTAGTAGATAATCTATATAGCAGAATCTTTAAATAGATAATGCCTAAAGTTGTATATATAGCTAATTATACACCCACTAACAAATATAACTTGAAAATAATATTAAATAAAAATCTGCAGATAGCTTATTAAAAAATAAAATAAAAAAAGGTCTG